GAAAGGGCCGGGCCATGGCCGGAGCGGTGACGCCGGCTCCCTGGTGCACGCCGGGCTCCTGGCCGACGGGTGCCGTGGGGAAGGCGGTGTCAGATCTCATGTTGGACAGTGGCATCAATAAACAGAGCAATGATGGGATAAGTTGTCGGGACCTGTTAATGCCTCTGCAGAACCAAAGTCCTCGCTGCAGGACTTACCGTGCGTATGAACTCCTCCTAAATTTGTAATTTACAGCCTTTTCCATGCTAGAAAGTGCACGGAACTTCTGAGAGCTGCCGGCCGCTCACTGCAGCAGAGAAAAGTGTTTTGGGGCTGCCAGGGCAGGCTCCAGCCGAGGTTCCTGCGTTCCTGCTGCCAGGGTGGTGCTTGAAACTCCCTGGGAGCAGTTTGGGGTTTTAGGTTGCGGCGTGCAGTCTGACATGGCTTAAACATGCTGCGGCGGGGCTGGTGTCCCGGGAGGGAGGTGCCGGTGAAGAACAGAAGGGCCTGGCTGCAGCCCCCAGCCCAGCTGGCAGCCCCGTGCCCCTCAGCAGCCTCCCCACATCCCCCTCATCAGGACTAAATGCAATTAGGGGGAATAAAGAAATTAAAAGCAGAACTGACTCCAGTTCTTAGCAGCTCGTGTTCTTCACACTGGCAGTGCAACAGACCTGGCACTTTTTTCTTCCTAAAAATGGATGGATTCCGCTTTTTTTTTTTTGGCAAAGCAGCCACTTAGGTGCCCGTACTAGTGAAGGGGGCCTGGCTGCTCTGCTCAGTGCGGCTGGCCCCCGCGCAGCGACTGCTCTCCTGCTCGTGCCGCTCCTCGTCGGCCACGTCGGTCGCTGGACGCTGCCAGGATTTAACAACGTCTGGGTGACCTTCAACGGCTCGAATGTCAACAGCCCGTCCGCAGCCGCAACTCCCACGCTGAGACGGGGGGACGGGACACACAGAGATCGCGGCCCCCATCGGGCACCGAGCTCAGGGTGGCAGCGGAACTGAAAAAAACGAAGAGGTGGCGGTGCTGCAGGACACAAATCTGAGGGCGGCACGTGCTGTGAGCAGCCTCGCCGCCCACGAGTTGCCTGCGAGCCATCGGCACCCTCCACTGAATTGCAGGTGTGGTTTTTTTGCCCAGGGTGCCAGGAGAGCTGGATGCTGCAGCACCCAGAAAGCAGCAGCCCTGGGGACAGGGGATGAGCAGGAGCCACCACCGTCCCCGCTGGGGGGTGAGGTGGGCAGCGTACCCCCCCGCAGCACCCCAGCGTTGCCCTCACCGCAGCCCAGAGGCTCTGGCCAAGCAGGGAAACAAAGCTGTCACCCTGGGATGCTGCGACGACAGTGAACAGGGGGCTGAAAGCGTCGTGCTGACTGCCCCGGCCACCGGGACGGAGTCTGGGCACGCGCCGTGGCGGGGAAGCAGGCGGGGGGGTGGCAGGGGCTTTTGGCAGGGCACAGCCCCCGGCAGGGCAGCAACCACCTGGGGAGGGAGGGTTTTTTGGCTGCTTTTATTGCCAGGGACAGCCCAGCTGCCAGCAGCACGTTGGGGATGCGTGGCGCCCCCCAAAATGCTGGGGTTGCTCCTTCGGCCCTGGCTGGCAGCACACCAGGGTGGCAGAGGAGCAGAGCTGAAGGCTGTACGCAGGGGCCTGGTTTTGGGCACCTACCGCCCGCAGGGGCTGAGCCCACCAGGCTGCCCAGAC